GAGAAACCACAGGTCCAGAAAAAGAAAAAGTCTGAGTCAGTATGCTCCCTCTGGCTCATTTCATCCTCCTGTTTAAGGAATGCTTTCTTTGGCGCTCTCTCTTCCATTCTGCCCGTCTACTGGCCCTCCCTACCCTGTTCTCTTCCTCTTTATTTTCAGCTGCTGGAAGATTTTGGGTTAGAGGTGGATCAAAGTAACCCGGTCAAGCCCCGGCTAACACAAACAAGTGATGTCATGGACATAGAGGATGAGCACACAGTCGTGATCAGAGACAGCATGACTCTGAAAGCACTTGACTGAGTTTTCCTGCAGTTTATTAATACATGTTTAAGCTTTTGGTGAGATTTTTTACATATATCCTGTTTTATAGCACACTTCTAGCTTGTGCAAGTTCATGTTATTTAAAAGGACCATGCTAAGGACCAATTAGGGCAGAATATAATTTTTTTTTTAAATTTTAAAAGGCATTGCAGGGTTTTTTTTATTTTTGTGATGTGAAAAAAAAAATACAGAAAGTTTCATCATAGGCATGTATTTTTCCTTTTATTTACAGATAAAAAAAAATTAACAATGGATAATTACAACTGTCATCAAAAGGGTGCTTTCAAAGGATATCCTTTTTTTAAGAAAATGCTGTGGTTGATTAAACTATTTGAGATTGCTGTCTGTTAAGAGAAGAGTCTTATTGTCTTTCATACTACACACGTTGTGTTAATGTAAAAAAAAATAGAACTGAGACAACATAACAAATGTTGAAATGTCACGATGTTTTCACCTGGATGTGTGTGCTGCGGGCTCCGCCTCCTCTGAACGTGCACAAGCAGCTTTTTATTTTTTATTTTTTTAATTGCATGACTCATTTCTCAAATAATCAATTAGGAAAATAAGCAGAGAAATAGAAGAGTAGTGGAACAGAGTAGACCAATTTCATTTGCAATGATTTACCATTTTTGCTTAATGTAGGATTTCATCTGTTCATCAGTTCAGGGTCTCCTTTGTCTTATTTTATTCATTCATTTGTTTTATTTCGTTCTGTTTAAGAAGCACAATTTAGAGGTGTTCTTTCTTTTCACTTAGGCCTACAAAGAACAAAACCTGTATATGGTACAGTATGAATGGTGGATTCGGTTTAATTTTAGGTTGTTTTTTTTGTGTTTGTCCCCCTCCATATTTTGGGAGGGGTTATATCTTGTTAGATAACTTGAATCTGGGTAAATATTCCTAAACGCTGAGGGAGAGCAGTCTGTCAGCCTGCAATCTTCTGCAGCGTGCAAACCGGATGACTAAATCAGTTTTTGTAATAAACAATAAATACAGAAGGTCATTCTGACTACTTTTCTGCAGTACTTGGAAAGTCAGAGGTCAACATCAAGATGAATGGAAACATGCGAGGACAATGCAGAGACACTTTAAGTTAAATGGAAAGACTGAAGCTTTTTTTTTAGAGCCTTAGATACAATGAGGGAGCATGGGAAATGGGACAGTCGAGTGTTTCACAGGCATCCATTCCCCTCAGCTTGGCTGGATGTGAAAAGAGATAAATTCCTGGCTATCTCTCGTGTCAACTTACACACTGTGTGTTTAAGCCTGGATGGCAGCCCATCACCCCACAAACCCCCCCACTCCACCCAGAAACTTCTGAGAGTAATGTGACAGCTCTGCCTGCAACGCTGATTTACTGATGTCTGTGGGTGCATCCGAATTGCAAAGTGCCTACACAAACTGACAGCTACTATCCGTGCTGTATACTTTTAGTATCTACTGTTCAGTAGGCGCACACAGCAGGCTGATATGTGTTCCTTCTTTGTCTGATTCATTCAGGGTGGAAGTGGCGTCACTAGCCCGCCTCATGTTATTGACACTCCAACTCCGATGTGATTTGCACAATGGCTCAGAAAATAAAAACTTAAATAATCTTAACATTTGAAAGGCGCGTTACCCGAATCATCCGCAACCATCCCAGTTTTTTGGGGTTATTTTTTTTCATCCTCCTCCAATTTTGAGAAACTAAAGAATATACTTTTGTAGCTGAAGTGACTTGGTCTAAATTTAGCAACTGGGCTGAAGAAAAAGTCCCTACTAAGTCCCTTATTTTCAATCATTCAGGATCTATTGTTATGCGTTTTATATTGCTGGGACTAGCTGATGGCAGAGGTTGCTATGTAACTAATCCCATTCAAACGCATTCATATGCCACCAACGAAGCAGCGGGAGCACTTCGGGGTTAGGTGTCTTGGGTTAGCTGGCTGGGGATTGAACCCTCGACCTTCCGGGTTGAAAGAAGACGACTCTACCAACTGAGCCACAGCCGCCCAGTAGATATTATTTATTTCCTTTTTTTGTAGCGGATAACCATACATAGACCCCGCTATAGATTAAGTGATGTCGGCAACAACAACTGTCACATTGTTTCAGTAATGTCTTTTGTATTTTATCTTAAAGATACTTAAATCAATGGAACCGAGACAAAACAAAATCAGATTCATTTAATTGTACTAAAATTGATTACATCATAAAAACGCTTGAGCTTACCGGCAAGCTGCATAACATGAACTTGAGTTGATCCTCTTAAGAAAAGTCCCAAACTGGCCCTCTGATACTGCTGCAATGTGCTTTGGACTGACTCATACTCATATACATTCTTTGCTTCGGCACTTCAAAGTCTTTGTATTAAGTTCATAGATCACTAATGAGGAAAAATGGTTCTCAGCGGCTATTTCGGGAAACTGGTAGTCAACACAGAAAGCCAAATTCAGGTTCATGTGATTGTGCAGAGAAGGAAAAGAGGGTCCTTGTTTGTTGTAAGAATTAAAGTATTTCACAACCAAAAACAGACCATTTCATAGCTAAACAACGGTTTGTTACAAAAGTTGGTCTGAAAGTTGCTTCATTTAACTGATACAACTTGATTCCTTTTGTAAACACACGAGTTGTTACTCAAAAGTGGAATGTCAACTCAGAAGGAGTCTATGTGCTAGTTAACACTGTGTACTTATTGTTCACAGCAGCAATGTGTAGTCTGCAAATTGGCATCCATTAATGAAAACTGCAAATAAAAACATTGACTGGTCTTTAAACATTACAGGTTCTGATGTCGCCCTGGCAGCTTTGAAGGGCGAAAGCACTTTTGAATACATCCAAACACAAACACTGTGAGTGTGTCCACTCTAAAAGAAGGCCCACATTCACAAGGAGAAACTGCTGAAACACATTCAAGTTTTTCATGTGACCAAACATTTTTTGACTCAAACTATGTTCTTCTACTATTAAAAAATGACCTCAAGAGAAAACACTTTTTTTCAACTGATGAAGAAAACTGGGTACTTGTGTTGATAATAAAAACTTAACAACAGTTCAGCTGGACTTGTTTATTTAGCATGATCATGTTAAATCAAATGTCTTTGTCTCACCACAGTTTTGAAAAGTGGACTATTAGTATATTTTTCTGTTGTTTCTTTAATGTTACCCAACAGTTGAGCTGTATTTGTAGATGTTAAATAGCAGCAAAGTACTTGTTTTTTCAGCCTTTTTATTAAAATGTTTCATCTGCTTCTAGTACAGTACAGATATATCTTTGCACTTTTTTATCTTGTCTTTCCCTTCTCTTGCTTTTACTCTTGTTTTTACTCTTGTTTTTACTGATTGGTGGTATATTCTAAGAGCTTTTTAATTTAGTATTGAGAACTGTTGTCACCTCATCACGTTTTGTCCTGTGCTGCAGGTACAAATAAAGCTACCTCACACCTTAGAACGGTATAATACTGTAACTGCAAAGCAACAACGAAAAAGAAGTACAGGTCATACTGCCCACCACTAGTATAGCTCCGGTTTGTACGGCAATCCTAAAGTTTTTTGACTAGTAATTGGTCAAAATTACAAATCTGTTTTAAGAGATGACCTCTCTAAAGTTATGCTGCATTTCTATTCTCTGTTGGTTGGTTCACACAATTTTCAAACATTTCTACTAAGCCTAAGAGGGTCAAATCACTTTGCATTTGTGGTGAGATTTCCAAATGTTTGGTCCCCATCTAAGCTAAGCATCAGAAGCATCTGCAGCAGCTGCAAGTGCAGACAGCTCCCACAGTTCTATTACTGCTTTGTGCTGTGGTTTCGGAGCTCCACAGTATAACAGACTAACTCCTTGTAGGTCTGTAAATTATAGAGGTGGCTCCTCACAGCATTTCCCTCACTTTGTTCTCAGTGTATGAAATTAAGGTTTTTCATTTTTTTGGCACAAACAGCTCAAGTCTTCATGGTAGTCTGACAGGCGGTCTGCATGACCTGGTATATTCTGGTTCAGGTTGGAGTCACAGTACTGGAAGGGATTTCTGTCCCTTGCAGTGCAATGCAGAGGTAGACCTTATTACAAAAAGGGGTGCAAGGGATTTTAAAGGCTCATAAAGTAATTTCTGATTGACTACACTTTGAGCTCTGTAGTTGGCTTTCTAATAATATCACTGAACAATCGTCATTATTGATTAATTACCATATCAAATAACAAATACTCAGTACAACTACAACATAAGAAGCCTTAGTGGTTTTCACTTCATGGAGAACATACTACTGTGCATCTTTAAAATGCAGATAAAGAAACACTAATTAGACATACTGGACAGCCTTAAATGACGAATGAGACTAGGCTTCCACTTCCTGTAAATTATACTGTTAATGTTAAACCCAGATTCCTGGATTTGTATTCACACAGATGTTTATGGCCAAAGGCGCTAAACAAGCTAAAGCATTCCATTGCTCCATCCAAACATGAAAACCATTACAACCAGTGCTTTTGTCAAAAGTCAGGACAGACAAAGGAGTATGACAAATGTCCTAAATGTGTGGACAATATAGCAAACAAACAAACAAAAACATTAGCATAGTTTATCTCAGAGAGGATTTATCGTGACGGACACAAATTGCAGCGTGGGTGGAAATTGGTTAGACTTTTGTAAATGTTTTCTAAAAGAAAGAAAAGTGATCTAAAAGCAGGGATTTTCTATTACCTGATGAGGAGCAGACTGGCATCTGAGTTTCTATGGAGAGAAGAAGAAACATTTAGTTTAGGATTCATCTTTTACAGACTGTTCATCGGGATGTTTTCAATATCAAGTGCTGTTGTCAGATTTGGAGACACACCAGTAACAGTTCATTAAACGGTAAACTACTAAGACAGACATAAAAAATAAAAAACAATCAAATAAAGAAAAGTTATTCTGACAACCACATCATCATACTCAAATTCTGCTCTGTCATTTGTTTGTTTATTCAGATCACATTTTATAATATTTTGTAAGTGTAAACACACATCCTCTCCTAGGTGGAGATGTTTACACCTGTCAGTCGTTTTCCTTCAGAGTAAAAATGAAGTAGGACCGCATTGTCAAAAAAAAACACGTTTTGGCAGGAATATTCCTCTTTGCATCCGTTTGTTAAGTACGACTCTGAATCACAGCTGCTCTGAAAACATGTGGTGACGGTCTCAGTCCAATTTAAGGTTTCAAAAGCGGTTGATGAAGCATTGTAGCCACATGAAGGCTCATTTATTAACCGCTGCATGTCGTTAAGATGACGTAACAGGGAAATGTGGTCTTTCATGGTATTTTAATTCCACATGAAAGAAACGTGCAGGTCCTATACAGAATCAAATTACCACAACAAAAGAATATTCAGAAGAGATTTGATCAACTTTATTGTCTGTCCCAACAGTGACATTGAAATGTCCTTTCGACAAGACAAGACAATAAACGCAACTTACATGACAAACACTTTTAAAGACACGCAAAGTACAGACATTAAAAGTCTAAAAATGGTCTATAGAACGGGTGGTCAGGAGCAATATAGATCTAAATGTGTTATTCGGACATGCATCAGGCAGGCAGTAATTAAAGGTAGTGCTTATTAAATATACTGTTGGCAACAATGTTAAAGTGATAAAAGAAAAAAGAAATGGCAGGAACGTGAACAGGTCACATCAGAATCAATGAGATAAGGAAATGTCAGCACTGGACTGTCAAGCAAAGCAACTGAACCTTTAGTCACTCATAACTTCTGGATGAAATATTCCAGATGTGTTGTCTTGGTTTTTTTTCCAAACGGTGGAAAAATATCCTCACCATGATATCTTTAACAGTGACATGAAACGTCCACATGGGGAAATGGACAGAGTCGCTCGCTTGTCATCACGCAAAGGCAGGAAACTCTTCGGGGCCCCAGACCAGTAGGGGGCCCCCGGAGAGCTGACAGACTTCGACCAAAGCAGTGGCACAAAAATGTGCACATTCTGCAATGACTGTAGGAAACCTCCCTTAGGGGGGGGACTCAGGACTCCGGCAGACACGACGGTGATGGACGCTGGTTGGAGGGCCCCCAAATTGGACCCCAACAGACTCTAGAATCGCCACTGGAAATGCAGCCAGAGGAAAATGTGACCTTAATTTAATAAAGACTGATACCTTTACCAGTCCCCCCCAAAAAAAAAAAAAGTTCAGAAAAAGTGTATACACTTCATGTCTTCAGATGTGAAAGAAGCATGGATCAGTCTGGCCTGGAACTAAAGCACTGAGCAAAGAGCAGTCTGCATTCACATCAAGACATGACTTCGCTTGTTGCTGCAGAGAACATGAGACAAGTCCATAGACATTTCACACCTTGTGAGTTGACCCTTTTCCTGACACGCCCTTGTCTTATGAAGCTTGGTTAATTGTTTTGTCAAGTCAATGTGCAGGCATGTCAACTGGTGGGAGATAATATTACTGATCACTGATGCTCGGGAAAAAAAAAAAAAAAAACAAGATATGGAATAAAAAGATGAAAAAGTTAACTCTCCTGTAGTTTCTCATTCAAGTTACATGTAAATTGACTTTAGCGCTGAAGTCACTTTAGTTTTCTTTTAGTGATATTTTGACTACTTTACTGTTCTGTTGCTTTTTGCAAAAGAAGGAACTTGTTGCACTGCTTGTTTTGTTGCTTAGAGGATTCATTAAGCTTTCCTTTGTCTAAATTGTGTTTGTGGTGTGATTGTCGCAAGAGGGTGAATTTCCCCTTTTTTTTTTTTAATCCCAGCGCTGAGAGTTAACCCTCAGCTTGCATTTTTAATTTCCAACTTTGCATGACCACTGTTTCAGCCAAACTTCAGTTCAACATGTCAAACTTTTACCCCAAGCCCTGTCAACAAACAGATTAGGCCACGGAGTCTATTAAACTATTTGGAAATGTATTCATCATAACCTAGTTCAAAGCAGCACTACACCGAGCATGTACAGAATTCACCTCTCGGGTTTCTTCTCGCATCATGTTGAGTTTCACAACTCTGCCTAAACTTTGTCTGAACTCTTCGTCTGCAGACAAACAAGTTAAGCTCACCTGGTACCATCGGAGCAGAGCCCAGCAGAGCAGGTGAGCAGCGAGGGTGAACTTGGCGGTCCGGTATCTCTCCGGGAGACAGGTGAGGTACATGAGCAGCTCCGACTGTGCTCCGCTGCTCGGCTCGTCTCTGCGCGCCGCCCCGCTGCTGCTGCTGCTGTCCCCGGTCGGTGCTCTGTTCACACCGGAGCTTTTCATCACTGTTCCTCGCTGCTGTGTGGTGTGTGGTGTGTGGTGTGTGTGTGTGTGTGTGTGTGTGTGGGCACAGGAGACGCTCACCGCTCAACAACAAGAAGCTCAGAGTTGCCTGAAGTGAAAAAAGTTCCCCATACTGACAACTCACAAACAAGAACTCTGTTTCCCAGACACCACAGCTGCTGCACCAGGCTGCCCCGACTTGCAGACGCAATTCTTTTGTTTTGGGTTTTTTTTTTTCTTCCAGAGTTGTCGAGCCTGCCCCCTTCAAATTCAAGCGGAGTTTCTCGTTGTTGTTGTTGTTGTTGTTGTTGTTGTTGTGCTGTCATTCATCACCAAGAGCAATACAGACTCCTCTGGTAAACATGACGGCTAGGTTACAGCGCCCCTCACCGGCTATGATCAGCAGCTACACCGAGTTACCTGTTAGTAGTTACAGTCTATGGTTAGTAGTCCTGCATTATGCTGTACATGTAGGCACTGTTGAAATGATGGCTTATATGCCATCTTGACAGCAGTCATATTATGTATTATATTTTGGAATAATGCGTTTGTCAAAATAACATAAAAATCTTGCATTAGGTCTATCTAAACTCAATACGTAGCCTGTTCAATAGATGTGACCCCGATGACGAAGAGCGTCCTCTTATTTCCTGTATTCTCGTATTCTTTTGCTCCATTTTCTCGTTACATTTTATTTTATTTTATAACAAAACAACATCAATTAAGCCTGCTGCTTATTCCATTTTAATGAACGACAAAAGGCTACTTGCTGCAAGGATTTCTAGAAAGATAAAAAAAAAGGTCTTCATTCACATGGTAGTCGAATGACGCCCATGCAAACATTTAAGTCAGAGAGAAGTTGAACTCCAGAGACTTTTTCTAATGATGTAACTGTCCTTAAAGGCATCAGCCTGGTATAGTACCACTGTTAGGAATCTAGGTACACAAACACACAATAACCATTTTCACATATGCACTCCGGATAATATTTAGATCATTTCAGGAGGACCGCTCCGGAGACTCTCCTGACCTGGCTGTTCACATATGCTCCTCACAGCTGGAGACTATCCCTGTCTGACGGGAGTGGGGGGGGGGTCTCTTAAGGTAAGACGTGACATAAAAAAAACAACGCAGAAAAAAATAATAATAGGGGTCTGGCAGGAGAAACTCCGGGTGAAATCCAAGCGAAAAATTTGGCTGCATGTGTTGTCATACATACAGCTCCTCCGAGAAAGAGTTTTTCAGGAGATTCAGAAGTGTGAAAACGGCAAAGGAGTTCTATTTGATCAAGATATGTCCTTCAACTCTCACATAAAACACATTTCAAGGACAGCCTACTATATGTAATATCTCTAAAATCAGGTTTATTGTTATTATTTTTTATCTGGTAAGCCTCTAAAGACTCTTCAACTTGTCCAACATGTTGCAGCTCGTGTACTGACTAGAACTAGGAAAAGGGACCACATTACTCCTGTATAGGCCTCTATTTACTGGCACCCTATAAATTCTAAAACCTAACATACTTAGTTGTTACTGCTCATACTACACATACTGTACATTTACCAATATCACTAACATTGTAGATATAAATCTTTATTGTTATTGTTGATCTGTTTGTCCCTATCTGTCTTCCTGCATCTCCCTCTATCCCATTTTTCAAGCCCTGCACAGTTGAGCAGATGGACTGACTGACATTTTTTTTTTTTTTTTAAATCTTGTCACTGTAACTTTGCTAATGATGGAATAACATTGGATCTTTGAAGATAATTTAACAATGAGTAAGGTCTTTTGAAAAGTGTCTTGAGATAACATTTGTTATGAATTGCCGATATACTGTACAAGTAAAGATGGATTGATTGATTGATTGATTGATTGATTGATTGATTGATTGATTGATTGATTGATTGATTGATTGATGGCCTATCTTCTGTATTCACTAGAGCAGAAGACTTTCCCTCTCAGTTCTAAGTATTGTTCACAAATTATTCATTGCACCAATTCCCTGCCTCGGTCTGCACCTCAAAAATAGGACCACCACTTGCTATGAGACTGATATCAGATACACAAAATTGCCTCTGCAGTGCAAATGAAAGTATGCAAATGAAGTAAGCTATGAATGTAAATGAAAGCTTATTTATTTAAGCCATGCCTTATCAAGCAGAGGCTGATCATTCTAAACGAACATGAGACTATCAGCTGAAACATTCATGTGTGGGAAACCAGTAAGAAAATCACAATAACACCAAATGTGACCTCTTCTTTAGCAGAGAATTGAACAGCAGTATTTGTTGACTAATGAGAGAACTTAACCAGAACAAAAACTAAACTGAAACAGAGAACATGTCTCATAGAGAATGACTGATTTGATGATCATGTTGTACTGCGCAGCACCAGGTCAGAGACAAACATCCTGAAGTGCTTAAAACCAACCTAACACTAACTTGTGCTAGTGCCAAAGTGTCATTTTAACATTTAAGAACAATGTAGAGACAGTTGTTAGGGGATTTGAACTTTGTGCAGATCCTCCACTGTTATGTACACCACCTGGAACAAAACAGACACAATAACGCGTCATTATATCATGACAGCTTTACCTATTAGCCTTATACAAAGAGTTTTAGATCACATCATATATTTGAGTATGCTCTGTATACAGTATCTCATCTGGTTAATGGTAAATGACTTGTTCTTGTATATCACTTTTCTACTTTTCTGACAACTCAGACCACTTTTACACCACAGGTCACACCTACACATTCACACTTGCATCGTGCTTAAGGACAACTTTGCTAGTGTGAGTGCGCCCTGAGACTGCTGTGTAAAGAATCCATCAGTATTAACTAATCCCATTCATACAAAAGCACACGTCGCCAAAAAACGATCCACAGCCGCCCCATCAACATTTAAACTGACAGAAATAATGTCATTGCTCCATTGCTTTTTTTTAATTATTTATTTTTTTGCATTGTAAGAGGAAAGTGGTCGGAGTTTACCAGAAGCACATTTTGGTGCTAGAATCAATAGCTTACATTTTCAAGTCTTTTTTCATTTACATCTTTCTTTCATAGTCATTTCTGCCTGAAGGGATGAAGAATTGTTGTACAATATATGTGATTTGTCTGGCTGCTTTGTTAATGTGTGCAGGCATATTTTGTGACTTATATTGTGTGTAGTTTAAATGTTTTATCTTCTTTTCTTTTCTTTTTTTTTAGGAATCCAGCCTTTAACAGTTCATATGTTGTGCAATGTGACAGAACATGTCTCCCCACTTACCATCCCACTCATGGTCATACCTTGGAGACGAGTCGAAATGACATGAAATGACTGAGTAAGTAAGTTGTAGGAGCTCATTATGTATTCACCTGATTATGGCACGGGTCAGGAAAGTCACAGATGTTGCGTGAGAAGACGGAACGTATCAACATTTTAACCTCTTCAGGGTAAACGTAGGTGGGCTGATGGTGATTTCCCTCTTTCACGCCTACTTTGTTTAATTGCTGAAATAAAAGTGACAAGGAGGATAATGAGTCAAATTAAGACCTGAGACAATGTTTAAGGCTGTTGCTACACAGGGACTATATGTAACTTTCAAAAATACTGCGTCTGTCTTGAAACTCTAACTATATAAAATACCTATTCTATTCTATTCTCTCAACACAAACTCAATGTCACTTCTGCAATTGGTTGTCACACTGTAAACAATGACAGGCTTATTTTACTAACCCCTTGCACCCCAGAACCCACAAGAAACGCAACATTCCTTCCAAGAGGCATGTGTCATAATCAGACGTTAGCCGATGGCTTCCAAGATTGCGAGAGTACACTGACCAGTTTCCTCTGCAGAAGCCTGTAGACTTTTTTCCGACGGGCGCAGTCACTCTTCAAGCGTTTGGCAACATGGAGCAGCGATGCTATCCACACAGGAAGTCTGAGGGAAGTAGGTATTAAGCTGTTTGAAAGTTTCTAACTCAACACCTTTTGAGCTGATGACACCACTGATCGCTTCCTCATCGGACACAGATACACTTTCTGTCGTGGTAAATGTGGTAAATGTTGCTGTCTCACAGGCTGCTAACACTATTGTTACTAGGTCCAAGAAACACAATGATAGAGTGAACTGACAGTAAGCTTTGCTAGTTACAGTGACTAGAGTTTGCTAGGCCAGCTATTGAATCACATCCCCATCCTGACTATGCAGTCAATGCACACTAAGTCAAAGGACGCAGAAGAGCCCTGAAGAGCGGCAAATAAATGCGTATAAGGAAGAGCAGAAACACATAGCTTAAAAGGGTCATAAAAGTACTTGTATGCTTGGCTCAGGCAAGATACCAGGAGAAAACATGCACTAAAACCGTGGTTCTCAACTGGTGGGTCGTGGAGCCATTTGCAAAGTTTGCCTGGGAAAAAAAACATGTGTAAAAAGATCTGTGAAGCGCTTTTAAACATGTTTGTTTTGTTCACTTTCGCACTTCTGTCACTGAGGTCCAACGTGCACAATTTTTCAGTAAATCAATCTGATTTGTCCGAAAATATTAGAAATTTAGGTCCCGATTTTTCACCGAGGAGATGTTGGTGGGTCCTGAGGCTAGACGAGTTGAGAACCACGGCACTGAAACATACCGCAGGTTGTGTTGAATCTCTTTTTCTGTGATTCTGTTGTGAATTTTTCTTTTCTATTTTTGCAATTGATATTTTGGCCGGGATTGTGCCACAGTCATGTTCTTTTTGACTTTTTAATTGGTGCACCAGAATAACTCCTTTACTTTTTTAACCTTTCATGACAACTTCATTCAGCTTAGCTCTTGACTAATGGTTGTATTCCATCATTATCTTCTCAAATCATGTTGTTTCAGAATCTGTACATGTGATGAACTGTGGTAGACTTGAAGTGAAATGGGCTCTTGACTGGAGGGTGGAACACTTAAGGGAAACATTAAACTTACCCAAATGAATGGCAGCGTTCAACATACACATCCATGAGAGGGTTCATCGAGGGAAGCAAGGTCTGTGGACAAAACACAGGTTTTTTGAA